TCTGTTTTATATTTGAAATACTTTTGTTGTTTTAGTTTATTCCTTAGTTATTTTAGTTATTTTTATCTTAGTTTTAGAAATACAACTTATATTTTTTTTTAAACACATTTCTTAACCACTCATTCACGTTAAGTTAAGTAATATTCTTGCTTGATTTAATTAGTGATGACATATTTATTAAAAAAATATTTAGAATCTAGTTAGGTTAAGCAACCATATTACAATACATTGGAGGGTGTATGTCTAAGATTTTTTCCACCTACTCATTTAGTGTTGTTGTGGTCGTAGGATATTTGTTTGTTTGTCTCAATGCTAGTTGTTGTCATCTGCTTCTTCTTAGTTGTGTTATATTATACTATGGTCCTATTGTAAAAGTGATGGGATAATAAGTATCAAGTTAGTATAATTGCTTGGGATTACTGGTTGTAAGTAGCATGCATGAAGGTTCCATGTCATAAACTCCCTATGGCCATTGCGCAACAACAAATCTGCTTCCACATTATCTTTTCCACTTATATGCTCTAGTTTGATTGAAAAGTTTACTCAGACCTGAGCCATATATATATCAGTAATTATGTCATTTAATAGAGGTTTTTACAATATCCTGCATAAAATGCTTCTGCATTAGTCAAGTTAACTGTCCAAATTATAAAATGTTTTTGTATCCATAAAGATGAAAAAGTTAGTATCGTGATGAGGGTTATTAGAAGCTCACGTATTTGGATATTGTATTTGGTGATGTCTATTGCTCTCGACCAGTTAAAAGTGATGAAGTACATGTCATAAGTTGTCTCACCAACCAGGTTAGATGCATCTGTGAATAAGTTTTGAACATTAGGCTGCAGCCATGCCCTGTCTTCTAATAAATACACGCCAGACCATTCTGGCAATATTTTTAACCACCATATAATATTTGTTTTTGTTTGACTTGTCATTTTGATATAATAGTTCGGGTTATTAGAACCTTCTAAAGTCTTGATAAAGCATTGCACAAAAGGTCTGCCTTGGGGTATGATTTGGCACAACCACATGAGTGAATCAACTAGCAACTGTAACTCTTTCTTATAGCACCACTTCTTTTTATTCCATTCTGTTAGCATTTGCAATATCTTTGCCTTTTTTAATTCTGGTATTGTCACTAACAATGCTATCGTATCGATATATATTTTTAAAAATGTAAGTGCTGTTCCTGGGTCTTCTAGTTTCGATTGCTTATACAGAACATTCATTATTGCTAATATTCGAAGAAATTGGTTTAATTCTTGCTCTGCTAGACCTTGTGAGATAATTAAAAAATCATCTATGTAATGGATTATTGATCTGATTCCGTGTTGGACAGCGATCTATGTAATAGCATCTGCAAATCAGCAAAAAATGCTACCTGATGCTCTGTTTCCAAATGCTAGAGTTTTGTCAAAATATATTTTCCTATCGCATTGTAAACCTTGAAGGACCTGGTCTACTAGATATACTGGTAATATGTGATAAGCATCTTGAATATCTATTTTTGATAGCATGCAACCTCTCTCATATTGCATTATCCATTCTACTGCATGGTTTATATTTTCATATTTTGTTACGAATTCTATCTTATTTATCCCATCATTTACACTCACCCTGATTGGAGAAGATAAATGTGAAATTACATGGTATGCTTAAAGCTTAGTATCTTTTTTCTCAACTAGGCCTCATGGGTTGATTTAAAACATCTTGCATGGTAGCTTTTCTAAAGAAAATAGACCACACATATGACCAACTGCTATTTCTTTACTTATATAGCTTTTAAAAGCTGTAGATTCTATCTAGATTGACTTTAGATTTGCTTAAATCATTATTGTGCATTTGCCAGAAAAATTAAAATGGAAGCCTTGTTCTAAGCCTTTCATTAAATACTGGATAAATAGGCAATTTGGATGCTTTTGTGTAAGGTGCTCAAATGCTAGCTTATTAACAAGTGTCATTATATTAAATACTGTTGGGTCTAACTGAGCTGTAATCTCTATTTCTTCTTGTGTGAATTGATTTCTTTTTGGTAGAGATGTCTCAATAGTTGAGTTTACAGATTGCAGCGAAGGCTTTGTTTGTGATGCAGTCATGAATACTCAAGATGCTTTAAATTGTACCAGATGTCTCATGCATAGTTTTCATCTCTCTATCGGTTTTGCTATTAAATATGAACCTTGTTAGTATGTAAGTTAACAGTTTTTTTTTTTTTTTTTTTATATATACAATATTCATATATATATTTATTCATATATATATGTTGTAGAAATTTATACAGCATATTATATGTTTTACCCTTATTTAATGTTTATTATATATGTTTTGATTTCATACAAATATGTATATTATTGATCTTCGTCTCTTCGCTTCTTCTTCCCCCCCTTTTTTTTTTTTATTTATTTATTTATTATTTTGTAGATCATTCTGCATTGAATCATTTTGTTTAAACCTATTATTCTTGCAAAGGTAGGTCTTTTCACCATGGCCTGTCTTCCTGCATATAATACAAGTATAAACTCTGCCACATTCTCTTTCTCCTGCATAGGTTCTTTTATTCCAATTAATACAGATCTCATGACCATCATGCCATGTAATATCTGGCCACCCCAGGCAGCATCCTTCAATCTTGATCTTCTTTGCTATAGTAAAATCAAAGTTTTTTCCTTCTGCTTCAATGTTTCTTTCTAACAACATGATGTTGCAATTAATTGCTAGCATGACTTATCAATCTTCATCGTACCTCATCACAGCTGCAAATTCATATTTCATGTACAGTTCATTAATATAATCTCTATAGTTGTTTAATTCTTGTTCACGATTCTCGTATAATACATATCAGCACTGCTTTCATATATGCTTTAAAAGCCATTAACCATTCGAATATGTTTCTGAATGCAGTATTACATGTGTGTTTTTTTATTGTTATTGTTTTATTTTCAAATGTCTGCAGTACTGTATTCTTGCCTTCATATTTCACATTGTTAACAATATTCTTGTACATGAAATCTTGCAAGTTTATGAATGTACTGAATGTGAATAAGTTACATATTTTGTTTGGTAAGCTTGGTTTGAGTGGTAATAATTCAATAATCTTCTGACCATCATTCCAGTTCAGGACCCATCATCTTCGAATTTGTTCGGTTGCAATGGCCTCTTTATTGGTTATACCTTGTATGTTTGACAATAGTTTTAATAACATATAGCTCAATACAGAGAATTTTCTGTTAATGATTTTGTATTTCACTGATTTGACATCATCTAACTCTGTCTCTCGCAAAAGGGTATTTTCTGAATTGATTTTTGTGATTAAGCTATTGATTATTGAAGTTGATAGATAGTTACCTTCTTCTTGTTCTGTATTGTAATCTGTGCTAGTTGTTTGCATTGTGTGTGTTCTGCTAGTCTCAGGATATTGTCTTGTTGGTGGTTTGTTATCTCTGGGTTGATTGATGTTACTTCTATTACCTATCAAATTGGTCTGTTCTAACTGCACAAAATATTGATTGATTATCTTTATGCATCTTAAGCTTCATTCTCTCTGCACTTCTAGTTGCTAGTTCATGTATTGTTGCATATTTTTCATTATTGATGTTGCTGATAACTGGATTATTGCTTCTATGTAAGCTTTTGTTTGTATATCCATTTGTCTGTTTATTTCATTTGTTTCATGACCTTGACTATCATGTGGTGTGCCCACCTTAATTGTATCTTCTGAATTTGTGCTTCCATCTTGGCTGTTGTTTTTGTTTTTCACTTTTTATTTACTTATTTCATGAGAGAAACATTTTGTCAATTTAGTTAGACATAGACTATGCACATGGTTTTGCATCATTCTTTAATATTATACTTATCTGTACTTGATTTAAATCCTGCTTAGGTCAATAATTACCTTATGATTACCAGATCTGGAAGCTGATAGAGTGTCATTGTTTATTCTCTCATGATGTCAATTTCTTATGTGTTGTTCAGCCTCTTGCCGGGCAAGGTGGCTTCAGTTTTTGATCATATGCTTGGCACTTGTCACATTACTGCTTAGCCATCTTTTCAATCTGTTGACTGCAAGTCAACTCGAATGAATCAATTTAATGACATCATTGATGTAATTAATAAAGGGGCAATTAATTAAAAGTTTATTTATAATGATTATGATATTTTGAAGTAATAGGGATTTTAACAGATTTTGCAATATAATGGTTATTAATTGATTTTCTTATTAGATAAATAAATTTTAACAATAAAATTATTCAAATACTTGAGCAATCGATTCTTCTATTTAACCAATTTAAGACATCGATACAAATGATGACTTTATCAAAGGCTCGAAGGCTCTGCTTTTATACTCTTCAATTTATTAGAAGATATGATAATCGAACTTTTTGATCTATGAAACTAGTAGTTTTACTTACTAATACTATTGCTACTTAGTTTCAGTAATCCATGGTTTTGACACTAAAGACTATTACAAGGTCTGGGTATGATTATACTAATTTAGTTACAATCATTGATTATAAAAGAGTAAGTAGTTACATATTTGGAAAATTTTATTTACATTTTAAAGGACTTGTACTGATTCTAAGTTTCACTTAGCCCAATGTGTTTTCTATTATTACATCTTTCTTACATTATCATTGTAACTAACATACTTCTCTCTTATTACCAAGTTTCTGCAAAAGATGTTAGTTATTCCAATAATGTTTCTATCTCATACTTTCTTATTACATAAGCCTTTTCTACTAAGGTTTTAAAATTTTCATCTGACAACTTGATTAGAGTACAGGTGAAAATATAACTAGAGGTTAACAGATTATGTATTCTTCTGATATGAAGTAACTGATATGTACACATAGTTGCCTTCTATATATAATAATAAACACTTACAGTAAAGATAATACACATTCTTCTTCTAGCATTGAATTCTCAGGATTTCTCAGTTAACCTCTTTTTAATAAAATAATAATATTAGTAAAAGGTCAACAGATCAAGCTTTTTATTATAAATATAATTTTTTAAATAAAGAATTTGATGATTCTATGTTTCACTCATAACTTTAATTAGTAATTGAATAGATATGTTCATTTATTATAAATCCTTTTTCTTGATTTTTGTTGTAAATAACTTCTTGAATATAAACATCATTGCTGTTTAAATCCTATCAGGTTTCTTCTACATCTAACTTATTCTTAATTGCATTTCTGAAATATCTATTATCCTCATCAAAATTTTCATCTGGTTCTTCTAACTTTGAAAGTTTATAAATTCTATCTTCTAATTCTTGGTCTTCAAACTCATTCTTATCTTTTCATCATCTTCTGTTTCTTTTTTTTTGTTAACATCATTCTTTTTTTGGTTTATCTTTATAGATCTTTCGAAAATAACAGATAAAAAACAAATAATTTGTAGAAAAGTCTTTAAAACAGAAAATTTTATAAGACCATTTTTCAAGATTGAATAGTAAATCAGAACTTTGAGCAATTCTTTATTTAATAACATAATTTCAAACATTTATTTCATTAATTTGTAAATTATCTTAACTAATAAATAAAACTAATATATTTTCTTAAAATAAGTCAAAATCTTTTAAATCAAAAAGCTTTTTAGAATATTTTACTATAATATTATTATATTATTTTTGTAATTTTTAAATCTTATTATTCTTATAGGTGTGGTGACCTAGTGAAGTAGATAGTTTGTCAACCTTCAAGTGGCAGTTCTAAGGTTTAATTCTCACAGATGACGAATTTTGGAAATTATACCTGTGTTACGATAATTGTCTCTTGCCGATCAGTTGGGTTTTGGGCATCTGTAATCTTAGGTACACCAAGTCGGGTCCCACCTGACATTGGGAGCTTGGGGCATCTATGTGAAATGTAATATTACACAGTACATGTACATAGAGGAATATAAAACCAGTATCATATAAGGCTTCAGGCAAACCTACGATAAGACCACTGGGTGTAGAAGGCTAAGAAACCGAAGAGACGGAAACTTACTTGGAAATCCTGAGTAAAAAGGTAGCACAAACTTTCGATAGTGCCATTGGACTGATGGAAGCCCATGAAACACT